AGGAGAGAACTGACAAGTCTTGATGCGTAAAGGTAAAATATGGGATGGAACGGATTTATGACTGGAGAGAGGATGGTTCTTCCGTAATGGTGTCTATGGGGTATGCGGTTCGTGGGTATGATGATGAGTGGTATGCGACGAGAGAGAGAGAGAGAGATTATGTTGATATTTGTATAGTAGATTAGAAGGAGAGAGAAAGAGAAAGCTAAGATGTAAAACGTATCTGATACTTGACTGCGACACTTGGCAGGGCTATTGACGGTCAAACCGGTGAGAGGCGTCGATGAAAGAGCCCAGGGCCTTGAGAACTTTCTGTTCCGACAGGATGGTGGAGACATGGAGAGACCCAAAGTGACCCGCGCGTCTCGCGGCATCATGAAGGGGTTGGCGGAAGGGCTCAAAGACGGGACATTGGAGTAAGTAATGGGCTCGCGTTTCGTAGGGCTCGCCACACGCCTCGCACGCCGGAGAGTCCGTGAAACCGGACTTGTGTCGATGAGCGTTTAGGTGGGAAGGACCGGTGCGTAGTCGCGAGATGGTGGATATCATTTTCCGCGGCAGAGAATTCGACAAGTAGAGGGCAGAGAGCTTTAGATTAGGAGGGGATTTGTCAATGGCTCGGAGGGATTTCCCTGTCTTGGACCGCTCCCAGAGTGTGCGCCATTTCTCCAAAACCTGTTGGCGTATCCCGCGTTGGACCGTTGTGAGCGAGACGAAGAGGCCAGGGTCGGGTTCCATCATTGTTGCCGCCTTCGCCGCCTCATCTGCGAGCTCGTTACCAACTGTGCCGATGTGAGCTGGCGTCCATAGGTTGGTAATCGCCAGGTGAGGGAGATGTGATTGTGCGGTGCGGACAAGTTGGTCGTAAAGGATCGCTCGGAACTGGCCCGAGCGGGGCACTGTCGACAGTATGCCCCGGATTGCCGCTTGAGAATCCACGACGCATAGGATCTGCGCGTTCCCGGCTCGTACAGCCGCATCCGTCGCCCCCAGCAGCCCTACCATCTCTCCCTCGCACACCTGCCCATGTCCTAGCGGGAATACCAGCCTCTCAGCCTCACCCCCATTCTCCACTCTTACCGCCGCCCCACCCGCCCGACCCTCCATGAGTGACCCATCCGTGTACCATGTAGACTTCGCCACCCGCTCGTCTTTCAGCGCATGTTCAAGCGCTTGCAGCGCGCTCTCCTTTGGCACGATTATGGTGACAACAGGAAGTGGTTCCACCCACGGAGGTGCGTACACAGGCTGGATAGGCTCCATACCGAGCGTTGCATCAACACCCACCGCCTCCGCCTCTCCACGTTCCTCCTCCCTCTCTACGCCCCTGCCCCGCAGCCGCTGTACTCGGCTCGGCACCTCCTTTGGCCAACGCACCTCCGGGAGTAGCTCGATGTGGTGGTAGAGGGACGCCATCTTCGGGTCTCTGGGATTGATGGTGAGAGCAGACACCAGGTGACGGTGTATGCCGTGGCTTGAGGGAAGGGAGAGGAAACGGGCGACAGTGAGAAGGGCGTCGCGCTCAATGCGAAGGTGAGCCGGGAGTATAGCCGCCTCTTTCTCCAGAGCTGTGAGCGACGCTGTTCGAAAGCTGCCTGTAATGCACCGAGTCGCAGAGCGATTGACGCGTTCCAGGGGTTTGAGGATCCTCGGCGCTAGAGGGAGGAAGGCCGCTACACCGTAGTCCGCACGTGGAAAAATGGTGGACTGGATTAGATCACGAATGAGAACAGGGCTCAAACCCCATGATGCGTGCAGCAGCGCAACCATTGCATTCAACGCTCGGACGGCCGACGCCGCCCTCATCTCGACGTGCCTCCTCCCCGTCAGCCCCTGGTCCAGCCAAATGCCCACCCATTTCACCTCGTCCGACGGCGCAATCACTCTGCCTCCAAACTTCACCGAAAACCCCGAATAGTCCGCCCTCCCCTTCGCCACGTGAAGCAGCTCCGTCTTGTCCTCCTCGAATGTCGCCTTGTCCTCCGCCTCCCACTCCTTCGCCACCTTCCCCGCCTCTTCCAGGGTTTTGATGTTTGCCATGATCGACCTGCTTGCCGTGGAGAAATTCACGTCGTCAACGAAACCATTCTTCCACGTCGCGTTGATGGAGACCGAGCTGAGTTTGGAGAGCTTGCGAAGAAGTCTGTTAATGCTAAGTTGGAAGATCGCCACGGTGAGCGCTGATCCCTGAGGCCCGCCTTTCCCAGTTATCCGCACCGTCACCGTTTGCTTGCCGTCAATGACCACCGTCGTCCTGTGGCCGTTCAGGAATGACAGCACCCATGCGATTTCCGTCTTCGCGTACCCTTCCTCCGCTAAGGTTCTTGCGATTACTTGATGGTTAATGTTGTTATAGGCGCCTTTTAGATCGAAGAACAAGGTAGACACGACCATATTCTTGTCCATGAGCGCGCGAGCCTGATGTATGAAGCCGCTAGCCGCCTGGAGTGTGCTGTGGCTCGGTCGTCCCCCATATTGATCCGGGTCGAGGATGCCATGACTCTCTGCCAAGAACGAGATTCTGTCCGCCATGAGCCGTTCCAGAGGTTTCGCGAGTACCGCCGCATGTTGTTCCACGGGTCGCCATGCCTTGGGACTAGACTTGTCTTTCTTCGCCGGCTTGTGCGTCGGGATAGCACTAGAGGCCTTGAGGGAGTTGGGGTAGAGGCCGAGAGCGATGGAGGCCTTGAAGATCCGTGGCACAACTCGCTCCGGACTTGTCAACGACCCGATTGACAGCGACGGGGAGGTGCGAATCGACGTCGGGACGTCGGGATGTGTAATAACACATGCCACCCAGAGATGTTTCGGGCTCGCTTCATTTCCCATGGCTGACATGGACAAAGGGCGTGTCCTGGAGGCCGCTTTCCTCCGTGATCACGCAGCCAACGTCTGGGAGCGAGGAGCGGAGGTTGTTGAAGTGAGTTGGGGTTGATTGTGGAGTTGAAAATGGCCTGGGAAGATTCCAACCAGTTCAGGAGTTCTGCTTAGCAGTCAACATAGGCGAAAAATTGTAGCCTGAGCGACTGAATAAATCGGATTTCATCATCATCATCACCATCAAATCCCTAGAAGTAAACTATGAACCTAGAACAGCCATATGTATTGCCGGGTCTGCGGTCGTTTAAGACAACATCGGTTCCAACACTGGTGCCGGCCCCGGAAGACGCAAGCGGCTGTCAAATCGTGACATGACTACTTATATAAAGGGTGGAGCCTACGCTCGGATATGCCCTCCCTCCATGTCATAATATCAATTCATCAATCCCAGCACTCGCCCGTACTTCAACTGGTCCAGTTGGTGCGGCCAAGTTGGACTAGCAGAACCTGGACAGCAGACTCCCTATTCCACGTTTTTGCGCTGGGCCGACGGCTCCTACATGCGCTTCCCGCTCGCCCTTGAAGATTCCGAGTGTACGCGCTGTATTGCTTCCCGTGATGCCCTGACCGAGCAGTGATGACAGCCTTTGTGAGGATGCCCTCGTGTCCAGCCTATCCTGACAAACAGGAGACCTGTCAAGCTAATGCGGGGGACAACCAGGATCCGTGTTCAGCTTATTCCGATAACAAACATGATCCATGTCCAGCCTATTTTGAGAACGAAGAGGAGCCGTGTCCAGCTTACTCTGGGGAAGAACAGGCGCCGTGCCTCATCTATCCCGAGAAGCAGTGAGTGAGATGTTTCTGCGAAAAGAACAACTGAGAATGACCCCCATAGGGGTGGATGTCTGCCGTTCACTATAGGATCCAAGTGGATGAAGAGTATGGTGCGTTGGCTGAAGAAGGGGAGCAGAGTATTGATGAAGATGCTGTCGTGGAACAAGAGGCTCGCTGTATTGAAATGTCCGTGGCTCCCACCCAAAACTCCCAATGCATCCCAAATGATTCAGGGGATATATGTACACTATTCTGTACAGACAAACTGTACACCCGAGGAAAATGAGGACCGTAACTATTTCCCTTGCCAGCCCCGTAGGTGGGTGAAATCGCGGTGTCGACTGAATGGCTTGTCCTACAAGGTACAGATCGCATCGACGCCATGAATTAAGGCCCAGATGGCTTCATACAATGTATTTGAACATAGCCAATTGCAGAGGATGACATCCACATCCCCATAACCCCTCAAAAAAATTACACAACTGAAATTTGGTAGTTTTGGGTAGAAGCCCGCCGTGAGAGGGAATTCGGGCAGTTAAAAACCCATCGACGTGGGAGAATACACGGTCAGTGGTCCCAAATACAACAACCAAGTTCTAGGTCCGTCAGCATGCACGGGTGGTTCGCTAAACCGGTGGCCAGATTGTGGTCGAAAAGTGGATGGCTGTGCTGCAAACTTGACAGTGATCTTCGCACGGGGGGGTGTATGGATATGTTAAAGGTCACTTTCCATTTGGTTTGCCCCTGTGATATGTTTGCTGCTTGGAATCACCTGCCCGACTGCATTTTCGCCGGCTGCTGAAACAAACACGCAAGGACGAACAAAGATCAAACGTCTTGACTGTGATTCTTAGAACTTACATTCTTCCGTTGTCGTTTTTAGATAGAGTGTCTTGTAGTCACATTTACACCCTCCTGCGGCCCTCTGAGCGGGAGATTGAACCCGCGCCCGGAACTGTGGTGGCTGTGCTGATGGGTGGGCTGTGCACTGGGGGAATGCTTCCCTCAGTCCCCCTCGTCTTCGCTAGCGCTGGCGGGGCCTTTTTATGGTTATATGTAATTTTTTTCCTTCAATTTTTCACTGCACCACTTCACTCACAGGAAAATTGGCATCCTGAGTATGTGTCCGTCCCTGATTGTCTTCACCTGAAAATCCTGTATAGAATCGGACTGGGCGCTAGAGTAAAAGGAAGCGCAAGACCTCGCTCACCGGCCTGAGCTTGAGCTTACTAAGCTCCAAGCGTTGCGAGCAGTGCATTATCTCATTGATCTACCTGAATCTAACGGCACAACAGAACAAGCCCGCTGGCTTTGCCTCCTACGCATCCCTCTCGCTGGATACCGCGTCTTTAGCTCAGTTGGCAGAGCGTGAGACTGTAATGGATTCCTTGCTATCTCAATGTCACCTGTTCGATCCAGGTAAGACGGATTTTTTGGAATCTTGTGGTTTAACCATCAGCGACCGTATCAGAATCCCGTCCTCAATGCCGTCCGCTTCACGACACTCGTAAATGTTGGTCGCATGTATCTTGTTCACTTGGCGCCTTAGCAATTATTCGCTTTCGCCTTTACCTTTTTGTTATCAGTAGGGATTTCGGGCTTCTGTGCCGTATTCTGCAGCGCTAAGGATTTGGAGCTTTTATCGGGTCATCCTCTTTCGAGCTTTCCCACCATAAAAGTGAGATAGTACGCTCGCAAGAACACCACAAACATTTGGATCGACCCAACCAAACACACGACTTGCGCAACATCCACTGGTTCTGGACTCACACTCCAAATTTGAGAAGGTCACGCATTCTGGGCGTCTTTCCAGTCTTTCCGTCGCCCCTTTCACCCAAGCTCCCTCCCCGTTCCATCCATACGTGGTGGATGAAAATGTCGTAGATGGGAAGAATCTTTGGTGCTTTCGGTTTTCCGAGCCTCGTAAGAGCCGGAAACTTCAAGTTGAAAGAATGCAGTGGTGCGTACTATGGGCAACAAAGATCACCCACTTGCACATGACTTGGTCGGCGACCCGGCTCTTAGTCTATGTGTTGAGTGAGGATTCAAATTTTTATTTCGTAGTTGACCTGACTCTGTCATCATAGTTTTATAACTCTCGTGTAACTCTCACCGGAGCACCGTGCTGGCTTCATTTCAGGCGACGGGGATAAAAATTTTGGTCATGTTCGATCGCCGTCAAACATTTTGAACAGGTTGGCATTGAAACTTTGAGCATTACAGAGTGCCATCAGACTCGCCGGTGTCAAATGGAGGAGCCGGCCGGACGCCGCTTCAGCACCGCCGTTTCCCGGCCTGGGATGGTATCGAGGACGACATGGACATTGTTAGCGGCTTCCATGTAGTCCTTTTTCTTCCCCCTGAACACGTCCTTCAACTCCCCCCGCGGCCGAGGCCGATACAAGATCCAGTGTATCGGCGGGATCGAATTCCTCGCCCTCGCGCTTCTCATCTCCGGAATAGCGTGTCACGGCCGCGAGCACGATATAGATCGTGGCGAGCGCGACGAGAGTCCCGGGAATCAGGACCCAGGATGTCGAGGTGGAGATTTCCCAACCGACGAACTGAGTGTCAATTCCGCCCTTGCTCGGGATGCTCGTGTTTTGCTGCACCCCATCCACGAAGACGCTGTTACGTGTGGAGAGACAGCCGCGGAAGACCTTGGATAAAAAAGGCGCGAGATTTAGTGGAGCGGCTGACCGAGGAAGATGAGCCTTACTGTTCCACTGTACTCTGCGACACTGCGGAGGTAATCTTCCTGCAATCATCTTGAGCACGACGTTGCGGGACAAAGAGCACACTTACTGTGGTGGATAGTATGTCAGGAGTCTCGAAATTATCGCCGTCCTGATCTTGGATTACGGACTTGAGTTGATCTCCAACGATGTTACTTACTGGCGCCTGCGAGAAGGAGAGCAAGTTGTATATTGCTGTGACCGCGGAGAGACCAGTGAGCCCATCCGCATCAGGGACACCTCCCGCCAGGGTCGAGGTGCTGATGGTGCCGGAAAAGAAATCTTAGGAGTAGTCCACATGGACCCGGGAAACTTTCGGGCTGAGTGTGCACACGGTGGTGTTCATGAAGGCGTCTCCTTTGCATTAGAGTACTTATAATATCAGATATCGCAGACATAAGTAAGCGAGCAGCGGTTTGGCGGCGGCTGGCGGCGGTTGAACGCTATTACTTTCGGCAAATAAAATTGATTCCTAATGGATGTGGAGTTGGATCGGCAGACGGCATTCCCATAACAACAAACTATTTAAGGGCCGCGCCCGAGGACCAGCAGCTGGACCAGCTACCCATAGCTACCCACGCCCTAGCTAGGCGACCTAACCATCAGCTCGCAGAAGCTACCGGCTGTGTGGCGAGGCGGCCCTGGCTACCCGTATAGCCAGATATAGCTGAAGCATAGCCACAGCTAGACAGCGGCTCGCAGAAGCTAGCCGAGGAGGCATCGGCTATTATGCCGCTGAATGCAGTGAGTGCGGTGAGCCGGGATCACCGGTTAGAATTCCAAGCAGCGACCTGAACGCAGGTGCAAACTGGCCATCAAGTCGCACCAAGTAACGGATGCGATCATACAAGATTTTGAGCCATTCAATCATTGGACCCGAGATTCCCACACACCTACCTACATTTCATTCCTTTGAATCTAAGGAAAATATCCTGTGGTTGCAGCGCTACGGGCCAAACCTTTTCAAAAATCACGTGTTGCATTATTTTTCGCCACCACTGTAGGTATATATACGAGACACAAGTTTCACTGTTTAGGATGCCCATGCGAAATCAGGACGCATGCCCTGTGAACCTCACGTGCAAATCGAATGAGCCTATTTCCGACGAAAACGGACAAAAAAAGAGCCTAGGGCAGTTCTGGCGGAAACTTGCCAAGAACAGACGAACCGCTCCCTAAGTTCCGCAAAGCCTTCCGACCTCATCTGTGGAAGTCAGAAATGCGAAAAAAAGAATCGAAGGGACTGATTCAGAATTCATTAGATTGGCCTCAGGGACATTGTCAGTCTGGCCCAGAATGCTTTCTGACTAAGCTACGCCCAACCAACCGGACTACTTATGGTCTTCCTACCGCATTCGCCAACAGTTTCATGTCCACCGGAAGCTCCGCAAAAGCACCCACTATTGGTGTTCGGCGGTCACGCGTCAAGCTGTACGTACAAAAGTCATTAAAATCTCCTCATTCACTATGGAAATTTACCAATTGTGTACCTCCAGAGTAGCATTTTGCCCAGTCTGTACCATGGGCAAAGTCGTCGAACATCAACCTAATTTGGGGATGACCAATGACCAGAGTGTTTTGTGGGGACCATAGTCCGCTGCGGAGTGCGCGGGGAAGCCAAATGAGTTTATCAGACGAAGAAGACAAGAGCCAGCCATTGTCCTGCAGCAAGCCAGGAGATAGTAAACGTGTCAGCCAATGTGAAAGGATTTCAAAAAACTGCGCACCCTGTAGGTCCTGGAAATCCCAACGACTGGGGGGCCGCCCTCCAAACCCCAGACACGAATTGTCCGATCCCATGAGCCGGAGACGATGCGCCTACCATCTGGGGAGAAAGCGACCGAGGTGATACCACCAGTGTGACCATCGAACGGCCCAGCCACCATCTCTCCGCTTTCCGAATCCCATACCCTGATGGTCTCGTCCCAGGAGCCGGATATGATGCGCGCGCCGTCTGGCGAGAAAGAGACCGAAGTGACGTCGTTGTCGTGACCATTGAACGGCCCAACCGCCAGCTCCCCGGTCTCCGAGTCCCATACCCGGATGGTTTTGTCCCTGGCGCCGGAGACGATGCGCTTGCCGTCTGGCGAGAAAGCAACCGAAATGACGCCTCCGCTGTGACCACCCAACGGCCCAACCACGATGTCCCCGCTATCCGAGTCCCGCACAGTGATGGTCGTGTCCAAAGAGCCTGAGACGACCCTCCTGCAGTCTGGTGAAAAAGCCATTGAGTTGATGTCGATGTGGCCCATAAACGCCCCGGTAACTACCCCCCCATTCCGCCAATGCCAAACATGAAAGGCGCCGTCGTTGGAGCTAGTTACGACGCACTCGTCATCTTGAGAGAAGGCCACCGAGGTCACGCCGGCAGTTTGACCATGGAAAGGCTCAGCTACGGGCTCCCCCGTCTCCGAATCCCACACACGCACGGTTCCGTCCCAGGACCCGGAGACGATATGGTTGCCGTCCCGGGAAAACGCGACCGACGTGACGCCTTTTGTGTGACCCTTGAACGGGCCCGCGATCGGCTCCCCGCTCTCTGAATTCCACACACGCACAGTTTCGTCGTCGGAGCCAGAGACGATGCGCTTGCCGTCCGGGGAGAACCCGACCGAGGTGACGCCCTTGATGTGGCTGTTGAATGGCTCAGTCACCCGTTGTCCATCCCCGCCAACAGCCTGAGAGACGATGCTTGTTCCACCTCGGGATGGGGCACCACCGTCTGTATCCCACACGCGGATCGTCTTATCAACCGAACCAGAGACAATGCACTTGTCGTCTGCCGAGAAAGCGACCGAAGTGATGCTTCTGGTATGATCATTGAACGGTTCGGTCAATGGCTCCCCACTGTCCGAACACCACAGGCGGACGCTGCTGTCCCAGGAGCCAGAGGCGATGCGCTGACCATCTCGGGAGAACGCGGCTGAGCTGACGCCGTCGATATGTCCGTTGAAAGGCCCAGCCACCGGCTCCCCGCTCCTCGAATCCCACACACGCACTGTGCCATCGTCGGCCCCCAACCCCTTAGTCTTCGGTGGAACAGAGTTTGTAAAATCTGTGGAATCAAGGTATGTAATCAGTTCTGTTTAGACTCGTTACCAGTCTGCGCTATGGCAAATCTTAGTGCAAGCACTATGCCGTAGGCAGACTGGTACAACTCGGGACATGTCAAAGGGCTGAGCCCGGAGTTTGAAATCTTTGATCTTGCTTGTGCTGGACTCAAATCTTATTACTTTTTCTTGGTCAAAGCTGGAGATGTGGATGGAACCAGACCGGACCCGTACCGTACCCAGGGCCTGTACGGTACGGTACCGTATTACGGCCTTAACCTCAATACTATAATAGACGCCAGAGCACCGGGGAAATGATAAACATGATTTATTGGTATGGAACGAAATTATTGGTCCCCCAAGCGTGCGGTAATGTCCCTGCGACGCATGCGCAACCGATTTTTGACCAACAACATGAGGGTGCGGATGGTATCCGCATTGAGACTGGAGCGACGCAGGCTGATGGTATCGCGTCCGCCCGAGAAGATATGCCCAACGGCAACGGCCGATCCTGGATTTACAAAAAGACATCAGATAATTGCTGTGAATCCGAAAAGAAACATACCTGGAATGGACAGCATATCCAAGGCAAAGTGATACTCGGGATCCTTCCTGGAACCGGCGGTTCCTGAGTGGGACCGTGC